GCCCGGCCGCCGCCGCCGCCTCACGCCGCCGCCGCCTCAGCGCCCCGCGGCTCCCAACATGGCGGCCGCCGCCGGCCCTCGGCCATTTCCGCCGCCGCGCCGGAAACACCCGACACGCCTCCCCGCGCCGCTTCGGCTCTTCCCGGAGAGGTTCGGCTCGCGGCCGTCACGGACTTCGAGTGTTTCCGCCTCCACGACGGAGTCGCACGAAGCTTCCTTCGGGACTTTCCGCCGAGCGCCGCGGGAAGAGCCGAGCGCCGCCCGCTCCGCCGCGACTCCGAGTGGAGCCGGAAATACCCGAGTGGAGCCGAAACACCCGAGTGGACGCGGAAATACCCGAACACCTCTTGGCAGCCTTCGGGCGCTTCCGCCCGTGACGGAAACAGCCGAGCGGAGCCGAATCCCCCTCCCCAGCCCTGATGGGGACCCCAGGATGGGGCGGGGGGCGGCCCGGGCCGCAGGACCCTCCCCGAATCTGGGGGGGCTCTCCTGGGCCGCAGGACCCTCCCCGAATTTGGGGGGCTCTCCTGGGCGGCAGGACCCTCCCCGAATTTGGGGGGCTCTCCCGGGCCGCAGGACCCTCCCCGAATTTGGGGGGGCTCTCCTGAACACCTGGGCCCTCCCCGATTTTGGGGGGGCTCTCCTGAACACCTGGACCCTCCCCGAATTTGGGGGGCTTTTCTGGACCCCTGGCTCCTCCCAGATTTTGGGGGGACGGATGCCCCTTGTCTGCACTGGGAGGGGGCGTGTCCAGGCACAGGGAGGCGTGTCCTCACCCAGCCACGCCCTCTTTGGACCAAAGGGGCGTGGCCGGGATGGGGGAGGGGGTTCCATGGGTGCCCCATCGCTCCGGGCACCCCTGGGTGGGGATGGAGGGGGGTGCATGGGGGAGGGGAGCACCCAGGGGTCCCCCCTCCCTCCCTCATGGGGGGATCCCCCTTTAACATCATCGCTACGGCTCCTCCGGAGGGGGGGGTGGGCTGAGCCCACCGGACACTCACCGCC